GCGTCCCGCTGCGTCCCGATGCGTCCCGATGCGTCCCGATGCGTCCCGATGCGTCCTGCTGTGTCCCGCTATGTCCCGCCGTGTTCTACTGCGTCTTGCCGTGTCCCTCTCGAGTATATCCGATGTGAACTGACGCCAAGCGGGGCCTGCTGCATCCTGCCATGTCCCGCCATGTCCCAACGTGTCCCGCCGGAGTATCTCCGATACCAACTGACGCTTAGCTGCATCCCGCTGCATGCCGCTGCATCCCTGCTGCATCCCGCCCTGTCCCTCCCTGTCCCTCCCGAGTACCTCCTACGTGAGCTGACGCGTGGCTGGGCGTGCTGCGCAGACACGGACACCCCCGAGTGGCGCCGCCTGCTGGACGTGAACGTGCTCGGGCTGTGCATCTGCACGCGCGAGGCCATCCAGCAGATGCGCGCGCGTGGCGTGGACGACGGCCACGTGGTGCACATCAGCAGGTGCGTACACGCCCGGCATTCTCCTGGAAACGCTCGTTATTAAATGAATCAGACCAGCTTTGATGGCTCAGGGCACCTACTGTGTGCCTCTGACCGGGAGGTCCAAGGGTTCGAATCCCCACGGTGGGCAGGATTGTAGGCACAGGCTAGGGTGAATTCAGCCGCTGAATGGAGGTGAATTCTAGCGGCCGGCTGCTCTGATCGGATGCCGGAGCGGTGTCCTAACAAATAAGCCATGGACCGCGCGCGATATTTCCTTTCTCTTCCTTGTTCTTACGTACACGCATTGGTGCTGACATGCACGATTCTACAACACATGCCGGGAGACCAGTCGGAGGCTTAGGGATTCTCCAGGCTGAGACGGTGCTCAGCAGATGTGCGATACCTCGTTGAGGGAAAACTCCTCTAGCCACGCGACGTGTGGGTTGACGTCATATCTCACCATCCAGTGGGAGAATATATCTACCATCTCCAGGGAAAACATTCACTACACTAACGGAATGAATGGCCTTTGCAGTTGCCCACTAAAACACGAAATAATCAATCACATTAAGTGGGAGACATAAAGAAGAGTGTGATCAGAAAATCAGAAGAATTGTGAGTCACTATTATTATTGACGCTATTAGTCGTAAATAGAAGACGTAAATGGCTCGACTATGGCATCGTTTTACAAACTTGAACCGCGTGAGGTAGGTGATGTTTATCGGTTGTGTGTCGTTCAGTACTTCTGGTAATACCACCTTCTTATTAGAAAAAAGTCATGAAAGTAAGAAATATGTTTTCTTGGAATAGGAACAATAATAAGCCATTGGACTGGAACTCAATTTAACATTTTGCTTTAACTCAATTGATTTCTTTATTCTAAACGGACGCATGTCCATTAAGAAAAGGTTTTAATACCTATGTTTGGTGTCGTTATGTCGATATTACAGTTTTACGAAATACTCATTTACGAAAAAGTATCGTAATATATCTTATTACAATAGGAGTTTGAAAAATTTTCAAAAGACTCAATTAAGCCGAGTTTAACATACAATCATCTATTTTCATATTTTAATATGAACCTCATTCAAAGTTTAATGCACTTCGAACTAATTTTATTATCTATTATTTTACTGTAAATATATTACATTTGACTATTCATCATAGGAATGGTTACACTGATATTGAAAGTACCGTCAAATGGTACAGCTATGTGCCAGATGATGCCAGGATACAGAACAGTTAAGCAACTATACTAAACATGATTGAGATAAATGTGTTCTCAATCGGCTCCTAGAAGAAACTTAGTTAATTGATTAGCTTAGATTTCTATTACAAGCGACAATGAGTCGATAGAGATTGTCTCTTTACCATGCTTGGTCTACAATTTTATAGGTGTGCACACAATTTTATAGGTTGTACTCTTTATCGGTGGATAATAATTATTGGAACACTTCCAGTACTTGCCACGAAATTGATATTGATAGTAATTGTAGGCCATGGTTTTCAGTAACCATTGCGTTCTAATAATAGTGATGTCTGTTTTGACAAGCTTGTCATTGCAGAACAAATTTTATCCGCTGGGATTATCCTAAGTCAAACTTTACATACTCACATCAATTTTATTAAAAGGAATATTAGAACACAAATGTTTCAATGTTCCATGGTCGCATATTTACGACCTTGCACTATCAACATCAGGCTGACAACTATCGCAGCACGAATAACGAAATAAAAATGAAAATATATTACATTGTATATTACAACGTTGATGAAGTGCCCGATATTCGTACCGTTACATCTTATTACACTACTCGATTGGCTCATTTGATAATTCTTCAATCACATTTTGCAAGATGTCATTTTGCTTACTATTGTACTATATTTCCAGAATGACTACCAAAGACTTAACATACGTTTCTCTATGAATATTGACGCGGTGAAACCAATATGAAGCCAGAATTGCCCCCCCCACCAACCACCAGTTTTTTCTAAATTGCGAAAAACCACCATTACATTGAATTTTTTTGTTTTCGGAAGTTGTTGCCAGACCCAAAGACTTGACATACGTTTCTCTAGGTATGTTGACGTACAGAACCCGAATCAGTCAGAATTGCGTCACTATCCTACGCTTTTTTTAGATGACGAAAAAAACATACGAATATTAGATTTTGGTGTCTTGTAGAATTATACTCTACTGAAGCCCAAAGTTGTCTGACCAAGACTTCACACATGTTTCTCTATGTATGTCGACGTGCTGAATCTGAAGCCAGAATTGCGCCACCACCCTCCTTTTTTTTTAATCGCGAAAAAACACATGTGAATACTAGATTTTAGTGTCCTGTAGCAGAATACTTTACCAAAGTCCTCATACCCAACGACGTGACACGTGTTTCTCTGTGTATGTCGACGTGCTGAATCCGAATCCGAAGCCATAATTGCGCCACCACCTTTAATTTTTTTAAATTGCATAAAAACTGGAGGGCGGTGGCACAATTCTGACTTCAGATTCGGATTCAGCGCGTCGACATACAGAGAAAAACATGTGTCAAGTCTTTGGGTCTAATATTTTTTTTATTTTGCATACCTGTGTAATTGTAGACGATTCAAGTTTATTTTCAAGCACCGAAAACAAAAACAAAAAAATACGGTGGATTTCCGCAATTAAAAAAACAATCTAGGGAGTGGTGGCACTATTCTGGATTTAGACTCTGATTCAGCGCGTAGACATACAGAGAGGAATATGTGTCAAGCCTTTGGGTCTAACAACTTTTTTTGAATGCCTGTGTAATTTTAGCAAATCTCGCGTTTCTTTTCAATGCGTTCACACTGAACATATTCGTGTCGGCTCTGCCCTCCTTTCTCCACGCCGGTTGTAATTCTGCAACTTTCTCGTGTGCTTATTGGGAGGATGATACGCGGTAGTCGCCCCGGAGCCCAAGCTACAGAGACGGGAAACAACACGCTTAACCCTCCATTACTCGCGGTGCTGTAAATTTTACAACAGATGTAATTTTTAATCTTTTCTTCGTACTATACGCGCAAGTTTTTGCGGGGGGTGCGGGAAGAGGAGAACTCTGGCTACGTCACGACTGAAAAGGGCGTACCAACTGTAGGCATGAACTTCACGCGCTAAAGCGTGCCACGAGAAATTCTATTCCTGTTTTGAAGATATAAGGCAGCATTGTAAATTGGTACGTGCCGTTTTGAGTCGAACCTGAGTATCTCAACGTGCCGTGCTATTTAGCGCTGGTGAAGACTAGGGAGCTCGTATATCAAGAAAACGTGCGCGAGTAATAATTCCTAGCAACAATGAGCATGAATGGCCGTGGTATTCCTTCGTATATCGTTCTGATTGCTTTATGTGTTTAATTGAGTTTAAATAGGTTCGTAGAAGTGATGTTAGGCAGAGTTTTTCTTCATCCTATGAGGTGTACTTTTTACAGTGCCCGAGTGCTTGTTTGCGTTTTGATTTTTGAACATCTACGCGACGACGATATCCAGAAAGCTATTCAGGTAGCCTTAAATGAAGAAAATGACGTTGCTGATGACAATGTAATTTTCCAAGAGTGATGATGACCTTAGTAAAGAAAGTCTTCCCCCAGTGGACAGTATGATCTGTCGTCGATATACCGACCGCTAGCAGGGTTTTCCTCAACCTGGTATCTCCCTTCAGTGGAACATCGCCCTAGCCGAGACAAGCTCTAAGCTCCCGACCTGTCTTCCGGCATGTGTGGTAGTGTAGTGAATGTTAGTGTGAGTGTGTGTGTGTGTATGTAAGGGGTGAGGATAGGACAAGGAAGAGGAAGGAAAGATCGCGCGTGGTGCGTGGCCCTTTTGTTAGGGTACTGCTCCAGCATTTGCCTGGTGTTGATTGGCGAAATCACGGAAAATTATAAATCAGAGCAGTCGACATCTAGAATTCTCCTACGGTGAGAGACTGATTTCGACCTAGTTGACAAGCTAGTGTCGAAGACCCTGCCACCGTCGGAACTCGAAGC